AATCACAATATCCTTTTTAAAAGACAAATAACTATAGTTAAAAATCATAAAAAGAGTCAAAGTAATCCCTACCTCGAAGAAGAAGACTCAAATGAAACATGGGTAAAACTCAACGGAGCTAAAAACACGAACTTCTCCGATTAAAATGAAGCCCTTGACGTGCTCTCTCTTTTTATCAAAGGAACAAGGGTGAGGAAATCACTAGATCAAGGTGTATTTGGGTCAAATATTCAAGAACTAGAGAATTAGAGTATAGAAGTGAGATTTTGGAGTATTTAGAGAGAGATGTGAAAAAGTGACCCAAAGAGTGACTTCCTTGGACTGATATATGCATAGATCGCTAGAGCGTAGGAATGGTCACTCGAGTGACCAAACATAACGAAACACCGCTCGAGCGCAAGAAAGGTCGCTTGAGCGCACAATGCACCCCTTCCAGTAGTTCAGACTTGCAAAAGTTCGCTCAAGCACAAGAATGACTGCTCGAGCGAAGAACTCAAACTTCCAGTAGTTTTGTAGACTGCAAAAGACCGCTCAAGAGCAAGTATGGTCGCTCGAGCGAACATGCAAATTTCTAGGCAACAACATTTTGAAAAACTAACCTCCAAACCTGTTTCTAACTCAACCAAAACTCCCAATGGCCAAATCTAACAAGCAATAAGATGAAAAGAAGTAGAACAACCAATAAGACAAGGAAATTCTAGATCCAAAACAATAAACGGGCCGGGTCCAAACTAGATTTGTTATATTTAAGCCCATTTATTGATTTGGGTAGTTTTATATGAGTTTTAAGTAGGTATAATTGGGTGGGTTTATAGGTTTGGGTTGGAATTGCCACCTCTACTAATTGCATAACAAATGATCATTTTTATTAATAAATTATCAAATCAATTAATAGTATTTAATAATTTCATAAATATATTTCAATTAACAATTTGAGTAATTTTATGAGAAATTTACTTGAAAATCCCACTTCAGAAATCTGTATACCATAAAATCCTTTTTCTTTTTTATAGACCAGGAGGTCCTGTTCATTTGGAAACATTTTCTATGAGATCCTGTTTAATATATTATTGTGTCACGTTAAAATGGGTTTGCCCGTATTGATTGTTGCGCTCATTTTTTTTTCTTTCATTTTTTTATTGTAGTTTTTGAAATGTGGCATAAGGGTTGATTTCTATAATGGGTATGCTACATTTTGAGTGGATTGAATGTGAAATGTGGTTTTTGAAATGTGGAATGTGGTTTGTCAAAACTAGCGATGTGACTAAGTGTACTTTTTTGAAATATGAGACAGGCAACTAAAATTAAGGTCGGAATCTTAATTTCCATAATAAGCATGCTACATTTTGAGTAAATAGAATGTGGAATATAATTTTTGAAATGTGGAATGTGGTTTGTCCAAACCATTAATGTGACTGCAAAAAGTCTTTAGTGCATTTTTTTTAACTGTGACACGAACTAAAATTAAGGAGGGAATCTTCAAATTGGGTAGATTAAATGTGGAATGTGATTTTTGAAATGTGACACAAAGAATGATTTTCATAATGAGCATGCTACATTTTGGGTGGATTGAATGTGGAAGGTGGTTTGTCCAAACCAACAATGGCCCCGTTTGGTAGAGCTGTGGAAAAGTGATTATAGATTATAGTTTACAGCTGTGAGCATAAGCTGGTAACCTGTTTGGTGTAGTTGTGGGATTATAGATTTAAGTAGTAGAATACTGTTTGGTAAATAAGCTGTAAAATTGCTTTTTTGCCCTTATATGATATAAAAATAATAATTTTTTCATTTTTTTTCAATTTTAATTAAAAAAATTATTTCATTAATAAAAGTTAATATAATTAGTATTAATTAGTATCAACTAATATAAAAATTGATACACTTGATAAAAATGTAATGGAAATATTATTGTAATAATTTTTTTCCATTATAAATTAATTATTATCAATTAATTGCTTAATCAGTATCAATTAATACTAAAATTGTTAATTAGTATCAATTAATGGCTTAATTAGTCTGAATTAATACTAAAATTATGAATTAGTATCAATTAATATTAATAATTAATTTTTATTAGTATCAAATAATATTAATAATCAACAATTGTTATTAATTTGTATCAATTAATATTGTTATTAAATTTTTTGATTCTGTTTTTATTAAAAAAAAATTATTACAATTAATAATATAACAATTGTTATTTTTTTAATTTATTATTCTTTTTCATTACAATTAAATTGTGTAATTTATTTAATGGATATAAATTGCACAATTTATTTCAATATTAATAAATTATTTTTATTATTATTTTGTTTAATTTAATTTTTTTTATTTCAATTTATTTTGCTCAATATTTATTTTTATTATTTTGTTTTTAATTATTATTTTTGTTTAATTTATTTTTATTTTTTTTCCCTTCTCTTCCTTCCTGAGCCATTCGTACGCCGTCGGTGGTTCACAACCCTAACCATCGCCGCGATTTGGAATGGCAGAGAGAGAGTGTCATCGCTCGTTACCGTTCACCCGCCTGAACAATGTCGGAGATCTTCATCTTCATCAACGAGAGAAAGACAACGCTCACCATTGCGCTTCCAAACCCTATCTTCATCTTCATCTATCGTCGTTATCGTTCGCGTTCTAGAACTAGTTCGTGAGAAACAGACAGAGAGAGAGAGAAAGATGATGGTAGATCTTCATCTTCATCAACGAGCAACCCCAGATCCCATCGTGTCATCATCCCCGTCTCTATCGCCCTTCCAAAACCCTATTGACCCAACCACGTGCAGAGAGAGAGATTGAGATTGCAGATCAAGAAAGACAACCCAGATCTTCATCAGATCGAGTAAGATTGCAGAGATTGTAGATCAGATCGAGTGAGATTGCAGATTGAGAAACCCAAATCTTCATCTTCATCGAGAGAGAGAGAAAGAGAGAGAGTGAGAGACAGCACACGCCGGAAATCACCTCCACACGCCGGAAATCGCCAATCACTCTTTGAGAGGAGTGAACAATGTTTTCATTGTTGTTTATATATAGTGGCATTTTCGTAAATAATGGAGATTAGGAGGGGCATTTAAGTCATTTCACCCCAACAGAGAAGCTGTGTGCTTAAGCTCAAATAATAAGCATCCCCTGACCAATTTCTCAAATAAGTTGAAAATTAGCTTTATTTAAGCTACAAGTTGGTCAAATAAGCTGAACCAAACACATGTTTTTAGTTTAAATTAAGTTAAAAGCTGCAATAAGCTGCTTATAAGTTCTACCAAACGGGGCCAATGTGATTACAAAAAGCCTTTAGTACTTTTTTGAAATGTGACATAAACAATTAAAATTAAGGAGAGAATATTTAAATTGACCATATCATAAGCAGTTGTAAATGTGTCAATTTACATAAATAAGGGCTTGTGTGTTCATTAAAATAATTGTGGGACTAATTGGTCTATAGGTTCTAATTTTAGGATTTATGGATTAGTGTCCCTAATTTTATTTTGTATAGGAGAGGAGTTACAAATTTTATTTTTCTGTTAAATAAAAAACTCTCACAAGGGATATTTGTAATTTTCAAAATTATAGAAGATAATAAGTATTTTAAATAAATTTCAAGATGTGTATTCATAATTTACTCTTAAATTTAATAAAAATTATCAAGTGAGTCTCACACGATACATTTTTTAAAATGGTAAATTACACTGACCTCCCCTAAGGTTTACCTTAATTACAGGGACCCCCCTGCAGTTTAAAAAATTACACAAACCTCCCCTACTTTTGAAACTAATATACAGATTCCCCCTATTATTAACTTGACATTAATAAAGTAACAAAATCAGTGACATCAGCCTCCATAAATCTACAAATGGCCAAAATACCCTTGGCATCCTATATAAAATAATACACTCCTTTGCTTACTATTTCCCTCTAATTCCCTGAGCACTTGTTAAGTTTCTCTCCAAAGTCTCTCTCTCTTTTTACAACATTGCTTGACATGAATGAAGATTTCACGTGAGCTCTCTCTCTCTTTCTCTTTCCTAGTTCTGTGTATGTTATTTATAGGTGAACTATGTAATTTATTTTTTATTATTTTTTATTTTTTATGCATGCATAGGTTCAGTGATATGGCATCATCAAACAATGGAAGCAACATACTGAAATATAGAAGTAAAATATGTTTGCGTGGTGAAAAAGTAGCTATCAAGGTGACACAATCTGAAAGAAACAAAAACAAAGGAAAGTTGTACTATGCTTGTGCAGAAAAAAATGCAAATTCTGGGATTGGTGCAAACCTGTTAACTCAACTGATAAATCTATTGATACTATTCAAAGGCCACTACCTCAAGGCAATTTCAATGATGTGCATACAAGAGTGCAAGTAGTTGAAGACAACCAAGGATACATGACGCTACTGATAGTCATAAGTTTAGTGATAAGTTTGTTTGCCCTGTTTGTTACCATTATGAAGTAACCTATTTATCATATGTAAAGCTTGTTCTATGCATATGTAATACAAGGATATCCTAGTATTGTGGTAGTTTTTGTGTAATGAAATATGTAAGTGTAAGTGTAAGACAACAAGTTTGTACTACTTTTCCCTTAAAATGAAAGCATGGCAAATCCCAAATTGTGATCCAATTATGAGTACTTCAGACATATATAAACAAGTTCAAATATCCATGCTTCATAGTTACATTTGATGATTCATAGTTAGTTGAAATTTACATCATGGTTACAAAAGTATGATCAAGATGCCCAAAAAAAAAAAAAAAAAAAGTGGGTGCATTATCCTATAAGCACTATGCACTATCTATATATTCTGTAACTATTCATTTTCACACATGTGTCTTACCACTATGCACCTCATCTATTAGTACATCATAGTTACAAAAGTATGATCAAGATGCCCACAACAAAAAAACAAAAGTGGGTGTATCTTCCTATAAGCATTATGCACTATCTATATATTTTATACCTATTCATTGTCACACATGTATACCCAAAAACTATCACTAAGTGCACCATTTATCTGCAACAAACAACCAACCAAAAAAAAAAAACAAAAACAATTTAGAGCACATAAGTTGCAAACCAAACAATGTAGAGCACATGACTTGCAAACCAAACAATTTAGGGCACTAACCAGACATTCTCAGCTAAAATACCTCTTCCAGATGATCCTCTGCCTCTGTCTCTCCCACTTAGAATATCCTGAGTCACAAAAAAAAAAAAATAGTTGTAAACTAAAATTAGTTAGTACCATAATAAAAATAGAAGAAAAAAAAATACAAAGGCAAAGAAAACAAAAGATGGTTACAGATAAAGTGCTTCCTCTGCATTTGCCTCTCCCAGATGAAGTGCCTCATCTGCCTCTCCCACTTGGAAATCCCCAACCAATTATTGAATGATTCTGCCATATTATTTATGATATGATCATTTCTTATCCTACCATCAAATGCATGCCTAGACCTTGCTTCAACAAGAACTTTTTGCAGCCATGCATATGCTTCTCTTGAGATACCTTGAATGACTTGCATAGCCTCATCATAAGCCCTTTGATTCCAAGCCCTTGCTACCTTCCAAAAGTTCTTCCTCAAGATCATTCCAGGAAATTTACCTCTGAAGTTGTTAAACAAATGCATACAACATCTTTTATGGCTAGCCTCTGGTAGGATTTCAGTCATAATTGTGTCAAGACCCTTTTGTCCATCAAACATGATGGTCCAAGGCCTAGTGGGCAATGCATCACTCAGTATTATTCTCAAGTGTTGTAGGAAAAATGTCCAACTCTCCTTACATTCACACTCCACTACTCCTACTGCCAATGAAAACAACCCATTATTCCCATTTAAATCAACTGCTGAAATTAGCACTCCACCATAAGGACCCTTCAAGTGACAACCATTTACTCCTATGAAGGGTCTACATCCATTAACAAACCATGTTTTCATTACCTCAAATGAGATGAAAATTCTTTTGAACGCTGGGTTAGAACTGATTGTACTCTCTTCATTTGGTGTGGGTTTATCTTCTGAAATTGGCTTGGATGGGTTATCATAAGTGATCTTCACAAAACTACCAGGATTTGTCTTCTTAATCTTTGCAGCATATGTTGGTAGTGGCATCTATTGGCTGCCATGATTACCCTCCATTTCATCTCTACATCTTTTTTTAGCTCTATACAACTACATCTTTGAAGCATCAATCCCATACATCTTGTTCAACTTGCCTTGCATTGCATCTAACCCCATGTCTGGATTTTCTTTAAAACTGTCAACCAAATTTTTTGCTATCCAATCTGAAGTTGCCTCAATATTTTGGTTCAACCTACTGCATGTGTGTTGGGGAACTAGGGTTTTTATCTTGTAAGTTATCCCATCTGGCAGAGGAGATGCATGAATCCTCCAAGGACATCCCTTAACAGAGTGGGCAGTTACCCTAGACATCTCATTTTTGTCCCTTACAATCTTGAAGCCGGTTTCTACTATATAATCTTTCAATGAAGCTCTAAAGCTGTATACATTTGCAAAAATCATCCCCTTTTCCAATTCCACTTCCCCTTTTGGATTCAAATATGGCTCTTTATCATCATAGGGAGTACGAAACTGTTTTCCCTTGAAATTCCTCCTCTTAGGTCTACAAATAGGTTCATCATCCAAGTCATCATCAGTACTAACATCATACACCATTACATCATCTCCTGATTGATAATCACTAAGTGTACTATATATCATCTTCACCTAAGTCATCATCTTGACTTAACACATATTCGCTACTTGTGCTATTAGATTCATTTTCAGCATCCATATTTTTATTACAATCTAAGTCTTCATCATTAAACCCAACAAAATTATCCATGAGGTGTTCATCATCCCCATCTACATCACCATCATCATCATGTACTGATTGATCTATTTCTACAACATCCTCATCCCTAGCATTAATTTCTCCACCCTTGCACCCAATCGAATAAACAACATCTACATACAAGTTAATTGTTCTACTCACACTTTGTATGTAAAACATATCTAGTACATCAAGATCATTTTCTAACATTGTAAGAACCCTCACCACTGCTTACCGAATGAACACTGATTACCATTGAACTGAACTGATTATGACTGATAATTGAACTGATTAAAGTACTGAACTGACTGATTAAAAACTAGAACTGAATTGACTAAGTATGTATGTTAATTTGTATTCTATCTGTTTGATTGATTATTTGATCTGTTTGTATTTTAGTGTTTAAACTGCTAATTGAAGGCCTTATCGGCGGTCGAATCCGGAATTGATTGATGTTCCACGACCATCATAATTAATGTGATTTTATGGTGTATTCATCTGAAAACTGAGTAGGTATGATTAAACTAGATTAAATTGAGCGAAATTGAAAGAGTTTGACTTATTTACAACCTTGCCCTTGAGTGGGCCACTACCTATACACCTTTGAGTTCATTTCAATTGAAACAAACATTTCATCAGTCCATATCTCTTGTTCTTGCCGACCTTGAGGGAGAGAGGGAGAGAATAGAGTTGTCCTTGAGGGATTGGCTTAGTCAACTTGAAGAATTGCTTGGTGATTGAAGTATAGATTGCATATTTGAGCTCCCCAAACCTTGAATACAAGACTTAAGTAAGGATTTCATCTTCTCATTCTTGTGTTTGAGCTAATTCGTGCATGGTCCATGTTAAATTGTAGAGCTAAGTCATGTTTTAGTTCATACATGTTGATATAGAGCATAATTCATGCATGCATGTTCGAATTGTTGAGTTGTGAGTTGATTTCATGATAAAATGGTACATGCATGTCCATAATTTTGTAATGGTCCATGTTTTCATCTTGTTTTTGGATCAATTGGCTCCTTAGAGCATCAAATTGAAGCTTCAAAATGATTTGAATTCATGCATGTTTGCATGTTCATCTTGTTCTTGAAAAATGGTTTGAAATTGAGTTTGAATTAAACACCCTTGGGCTTTGATTTCTCAAATTGAGCTTTGAACCATGTTATTCCATGTGTATACAAATGTTTTAGTTAAAGCCGAACATCAACGACCCGCAGGCTTATTGCAGCCCTTACC